AAAGATTAAATGTTTGAAGTGACTATTTATGATTTTGTGCCTAGTTGATATTGTTGCACTATGGTTTTGTTGCCACACTACTGGGATTTTCTCTCACCCCTTCGGGGCTGCTATTTTTACAAAATGGCAGGAGGACGTAAAAGCTTTTGAGGACTTGGATATTTGTTGTTGGCTTCTACTGTTTGGGCATGCTGCTATTGATGTGATATTTTATTTATGACTGTATGAAATTGAGAAGCTTTTATTATTGTGAACTATGATTTTATTATTACATTACGATTTTATAACCAGCAAGTATTTTGGAAACAGATGTTGAAACGTTTGCGAAAAGGATTTTGACATGTTATCTAAATGCTGAGTTTTGAAAAGTCTTTGCGAGCACTTTGTAAGTTGTCGTACTGGGGCTAAGGACCTCCGATTTTCTTATAATTTATATGCACGCGTAGCCCCAGGTGTCTAGTTTCATTATATACAAACCTTGCAATGAAATTCTGAAAGATCGATTTATTATGAATTTTACCAGCCAGGACATTTGTGATATTTCCACTATTTTCTCTCTTATTTTTGCGAGTTATGTTTCGAGGGGAAAACAAACTCCAAATCACTATTATTTTATATGACCGTGAAGTCCCAGATATTTAGTTTCCAGATTACAAAGAATATATTTTTGAATCGTTGAACTGGATTTTATACGAATTTTTAAAGACAGCAAGGTCTATCAGGAAATTTATATTTTTAATAAGTTTAAGAAATTTTGTGTACTCTTATTTTTGTAATTAACCAGATCCCCGCTTTAGTTTTAATTGGCAATGTAAAAGCGATATTTTTTTCAGTCTCTAAAATACTATTAAAGAACTCTAATTTCGCTTAGCAAACAACTCTCTTGGAGGCCTACAAGAGAGGGTGTTACACATGTAGACCAGACAATATCTTGATACATTATACAACTCAAATAAACTCAAACATGACTGATATCGATGTGGTATGGATAACCCCCATGCACACCAAATAAGGCCATAAAGCCAAACAAAGTCTCAAATCAAAGAACACAACATACTGAAAGTAAAACATGATCAATATCCAGACATATCAGTAATCAGAATGCATAATCAACTAAACTCCGGCCTTCTGCCGCTAGAGGTATCAACCCCCAAGGTACGTGTACCTGAAAATGTTCCCCAACACGGGGTGAGATCTCTAAAAAGAAATCTCAGTAAGCCAAGGGGTCCTCAAGGATTTCTCCACCCCAAGCTCACTTACATGTGCAATATACGTTCCAAAACAGTATAACAATATAATTTTCAAAACTTGTGCAATGTAGCATATATCCATGTCATGTGTGTATGTATCCTACTGGCCATAGAATTAAAAGGTAGGGATTACATACATCTACAATCTACAGTACGAGGAACACCACTTGTACCTCCCCACAAAGTTTCCATCTTGTATCTCTCCACATACTCAGGATTACCATCTACGTGGTACACCACATTCATATCATATGACACTTGCACTCAATAAAACAGCTCAATAGCATAACAAGAATCATCATTAATTTTCATAAAAACACAGCATGCATATAACCACCCCTCTATGAGGTATGGTGGAACCAACAATAGGCAAAATCAAGGACACGAAAGCTTACCTCGTAAGCTAATAATCCCAAGTCAAGAGTCCACAACCACCCAAGGTCACAAAACAGCACAATCACAATTTGTTTAGACCAGAAATCTCAACAACATTCGAAATCTAGAAGTTCATTACATTATGACAATGTTTCCTTTTTCGTTTCATGCCTTTAGGCTTCTCTCAAAGCCAAAAGCCTTTAATCTAAGTGATTCTGACTCTGTGAACTTATTACAGAGATTCATACTAACCACTCAAGGGACCAGAAACCCAATCTACACTTCTGTTTAGACAGAACAGTGCAAAACTCGAAATTCCCAAAATATTCGGATATTTGTCGGGGGCTATCCGGATATCATATCCGAATATTTCGCGACAGAATGCAGTTTTGCATTTGGCGAATATATACTTCCAAGGTTCTATTTTTAAGGGTTCCAAACGTTCAATCATGCGTTTTAGGCGTGTTATACCTTACCAACCCTTAAGTTATCAAGTTCCACTTATTACATGCATCAAGGTTCATTCTTTTAATAGAAACTCAAGAGAAATGTGGTGATGCTTACCCAAAGGCTCAAAACAAAGAAAAGGCAGTGGTTTGAGGCTTCTTGTGCCACTCTGTAGTACTGCTACTAAGAGACCACAAAAATGGTTCATGATGGGACAGAAATTTGTTCCCATCTAAGCCCATTTTGATGAAAAAATACCATATATTCCCTCATCTGATGAGCAACTTCAGCACTAAAAACACATATTTTATATCTTTATGACAAAAACACAGTGGGGAACGGATGATGACGTAATCTTTTGGAAAATATAGAAAAAGGAAACAGAATGGGAACATTAAATACACCTGCTCCACTAACTCTATCCCTCTGTACACTTTGCAGGTAACGTTGAAAAGAAGCTTCCATAAAGCATAAGAGGTATAGCAATCAAGTGGGAAGAAACGTGCACAGTAGGGAATAAAGAGTTCCTATTGGCTAAGAGGAAAGAGGGATGAGGGACTGCAGAAGAAACGGCAAATCTCAACAATAAGTGTCCCATCTAGCAACTTGCAACCCTCTGAACACTGTTCGCACCGCCCCGTCCATGCAGTCAAGAAAACAACTCCAGGGAAATTACAAGCTTTGCCATTCACTCTTCTGCCTATAAATAGGACGTTCCAGCACGAAGAAGATCATCGAATTCCTTAAGAAGAGATCACTTAGTTTATTTTGTAGTTTTACGTTTTCAGTTGTATAGTTTTAGCATTAGTTAAGTGACAACAACTTCTTCTGTATTCTATATCACCCACTTGAGACTCCTCACGAGCAGCAACCATACTTCTCCACTTTTCATTTTATTGTAACCTAATTTGTTACCAGTTAAATATATGTGTTATTTCTCTTCTTTTCCACTTGTTATCTCTGAACCGAATCTCGGATCTATGGGATTTCAGTTTGGAATAATTATGTTTAAAGTAGTAGCCATGGGCTAATCTATTTGTGGAACGGAAAAACTGTGAAGTTTGTAAAGAACTATTTTCAAAACTCTTGTACTGAAGCTTTTGTATTTCTCTGTTTAAGTGAGCTATATTCATTGTATATCAATGGAACTTGAATACATACTGAGAAAGGAATTTCCATAAGGAAGGGATTTCAGACAGCTTAACCAGAAGGGGAAGGCCACAACACTGCTGGTTGCCTTAGGAATAAGGGACCACCTCGTTCACTAAAGGTCTTGTGCTAAGTAACTGTTGGAGTCAAGGGAGCCATAGGAATATGGAAGCTTGTGAGCCATTTAGTCCATGAGCTGAGGAATCAGAGTTGGCAGTGAAAAGACCTGATCAAAGCCAAAAGTGTTAAGGCTTGAGTGGATAATATAGCTATTTAAGAATGAAACAATGGATCTGTTTCTTCTGTTAAAAACTATTTTTATCACTCCATATTGTTGTCTCTTAAATATTGTTATTATTATTTTTATTGTTTTTCTTTGTTCAATCTTGTATCAATCATTCTCCCATGAATATTGTTGTTCCTTCTCTCAACAAGAAGGATATCATACATAACGAAGCAAAGAGCTGGTTGCTGTCAGATTGAACCTACTGTTCTTTAGGAACGTTGTTGTCAACACAGTAGGGAACATTTGACCAAATAGGTCAATTACTAACTTTTCTTTTCATTTTCATTCTTTTAAAATAGTTTAAGGCATTAATTAGAGTACTATCCTCGTGGAAATGATAATTTGGGCACTAATAGTCCCATTTATTACTTGATGCGTGCACTTGCGCACTTGGGTTGAAGTCAAGAGAACGAAAGTGTTTTCTCATGATGAACTAAAGTAAAGGAATGTCCTTCATCATAATATGTTAAGCAACCAACAAGTTCACCACCCAACAAGTTTTTGGCGCCGTTACCGGGGATAGTTACACTAAATTCTGTCTTTATTACTATTTTAAGTTCATACTCTGTGTATATTTCATTTATTAATTTTTGGTCATGTATTCTGTTGTTCATACTATTTGTGTTTATGGTTTATGAGTGAAGAGTCTGAAACAGATTCTCACCACTCCATTGAAATACCTGAGTTCTTCTTTGATCCTGAACCAGAACGTACCTTACACAGGAGAAGAAGAGATCTCAAAAAAATATTTTTGAAATAAACATGGTTGATCACAATAACAACAATGAAGAGATCCCTCATGAACAGAACTTCAGAGTTCTGGCTGCTCTTTCAAGGAACAGACCAGAAAGAGGAGTAATCCTCCCCCCTGTAGCTCCCAAATTTGAACTAAAACCCATCATGTTTCACATGATCAGGGAAGCTGGAGTCTTCAATGGACTCCCTGCAGAAGATCCTTACACACACCTCATAAACTTTCAAGATATCTGTGATAATTTCAGAACTGAGGGTGTGACAGAAAAAAGTATGAGAATGAGGTTGTTCCCACACTCTTTGGGCTCAAAAGCCAAAATAAGGATGAAAACTCTCACCCCCGGATCCATACACTCATGGGAGGAACTCTCTAATAAGTTTTATAGAGAGATTTCTCCCTATGTCTCGCCAAGCTGATGTTTAGAGCAGAACTTTCTAACTTTAGAATGTTTTATGGGAAAAATCTCTATGAAGCTTGGGAGAGATATAAAGAAATCATTAGGAAATGTCCAAACCATGGGGTGGAGAAATTGGGAATTTCACAGTCTTTTTACAAAGGGATTGATCATACTTCTCAATCATATTTAGACTTTGCTGCAAGAGGATATTTTTTTACAGGAACTCTTGAATCCCGGTATGAAATAATAGAAGCCACTGCAGAAAGATGTCTTCAATGGCCACTGGAAATAATGAGCCCAATAAGGAAGCCAAACATGCTAGAATTAGACAAATAAACTGCCATGGAAGCCCAACTGGCTACACTGATGAATGAGGTGAAGAATCTAAAAATTGACCAAGAACAGCCAAGAATGGAAGTATTACAACTCACAGCTACTGAGAGTGAACCATGCTCAGCTTGTGGTGAGAATCACGATTCAACAGACTGTCCATCCACAGCCTTGGTATGTTATACAGAAGATTTTGGGAACATAAATTTCACCCAGGCCAGAGACAATCAACATGCAGGAAGCAACAACAACCAGAATCCTAGAGGCACCATAGTGAAAGATCATAACCACAACCCACAATGGAAACCACCCATGAACCAAAGACCATACAACAACCAGCAGCAACAACACCAACAAGGCAGCAGTATGGGAAATAGAGCATATGACCAACAGAGAAGACCCAATTATGCTCTATTCCCCAGAGATGACCAACACATCAACACCTTGGAGAATCATGTCAAATAATATGTTACCATAAACGATGATGTGGTCAGAAACATTGAATCTCATCTGGGACAGATAGCTGCTAGCCTCAACACAAAAACATCAGGAAAACTGCCAGGAGATACTGATGTCCTCTCAAGATCCTCACCAGAGCAGATCAAGGCAGTCACCTTGAGGAGTGGGAGAATTGCTACACAAACCTCAACCACTCCCAAGACCACCAATCCTGGGAAGGAACGTAATGAACCATTGGAGGTATCTCCAAGTATGACACAACAACAACCAACACAAGTAGCTGGTGAAGAAGATCAAGAACTTGGAGAAAGAATTGTAGCTGACAAACAAACTCAAGTGGGAAGAAGTCAACCCATCAGACCACCACAGAACAAGCAAGTGCCAGTTACAATTCTGTTCCCTCAAAGAACAAAGAAGCAACAAGATGATAAGCAGTTTGGAAAATTCTTAGACATTTTGAAGCAATTTCAGATCAACATACCACTGGTGGATTCGCTGGAACAAATGCCCAAGTATGCCAAATTCATGAAAGATGTTCTCTCCAAAAAGAGAGGAATAAAAAAATATGAAACTGTGAAAATGACACAAGAAAGTTGCAAATACTTGGGCAAGTGATGGGACGAAAATTCGTGCCCATCTAAGCCCTTTTTTTTTTTGATAACACATCTAAGCCCATTTTGATGGCAAAGTACCTTTCATTCCCTCATCTGATGAGAAACTTTAGCACTAAAAACACATGTTTAATATCTTTATTACAAAAACACAGTTGGGGAACGTATGGTGACGTAATCTTTATTACAACAATACCAACTTTACCAAGGCATGGGGAAGATCAGAAGGAAAGATAAATCTCAACAATAACTGTCCCATCCAGCTACTTGCGCCCCTCAAAGCACTATTCACACCGCCTCTTTCATGCAGTCAAGAAAACAACTCCAAGGAAATTACACACTTTGCCATCCACTCTTCTGTTATAAATAGGACGTCCCAGCACGAAGAATACCATCGAATTCCTTAAGAAGAGATCACTTTGTTTATTTTTGTAGTTTTTCTTTTGTATAGTTTTAGCTGAAGTTAAGTGACAACACTTCTCCTCTACACTGTATCACCCACTTGAGACTCCTCACGAGCAGCAATCATATTCTCCACTTTCTATTTTATTGTAACCTAATTTGTTTCCAGTTAAATATAAGTGTTATTTCTCTCCTTTCCACTCGTTATCTCTAAACTGAATCTCGGGTTTATGAGATTTCAGTTTTGAATAATTATGTTTAAAGTAGTGGCCATGGGCTAAACTATCTGTGGAATGGAAACGCTGCAAAGTTCTTAAAGAATTATTTTCAAAACTTTTGTACTGAGCTATTGTATTTCTCTGGTTAAGTAAGCTATATTCATTGTGTATCAAAGGAAATTGAACACATGCTGAGAAAGGAACTTCCATAAGGAAGGGATTTCAGACAGCTTAACCAAAGGGGGAAGGCAGTGTTGTGGAAACAACACTGATGGTTGTCTTAAGAATAAGGGACCACCTCGTTCATTTGAAGGTCTTGTGCTAAGTAACTGTTGGAGTCAAGGGAGCCATAGGAATATGGAAACTTGTGCCATTTAGTGCATGAGCTGAGGAATTAGAGTTGGCAGTGAAGAGACTGGAACAAAGACAAAAGTGTTAAGTCTTGAGTAGAGGAGATAGCTATTTAAGAATGGAGCAGTGAATCTGTTCCTTCTGTTAAAACTGTTTTAAACCATACACACTATTGTCTCTTAATTACTGTTATTACTATTGTTATTTTTTTCTTTATATTCAATCTTGTATCTATAAATCTCTCATGAATATTGTTGTTCCTTCTCTTAACAAGAAGGGTATCATACATAACGAAACGATGAACTGCTTGCTGTCAGATTGAACCTACTGTCCTTGAGGAACGTTGTCAAGACAGTAGGGAACGTTTGACCAAACAGGTCAATTGCTAAATTTTCTTTTCATTTTCACTCTTTTTAAAATAGTTTAAGGCATTAATTAGTAGAGTTATATCCTCGTGGGAACGATAATCTAGGCATTAATAGTCCCTTTATTACTTGATGCGTGCACTTGTGCACTTGGGTTGAAGTTGAGAGAACACAAGTGTTCTCTCTTACTAAACTAGAACGTTCTTCATCATAATAAATTTTTCACCCAACAAGCTTTTGACCCAACAGCAAGCTTCCACCAAAATTACAAGACCCTGACCCTGGAAGTTTTACCATTCCTTGTGTAATAGGAAACACTTACCAAGGCAAGGCTTTATGTGACCTAGGAGCAAGCATCAATCTAATGCCTTCCTCGGTTTTAAAACAACTGAACATTGGACTAGCAAAACCAACAATTGGAACACTACAGCTAGCAGATAGATCCATTGTCAAACCTGAAGGAAAAGTCGAAGATCTCTTGTCAAGGTGGACAAGTTCATTTTTCCTACTGATTTCATCATCTTAGATTATGATACCGATGTTGACGTCCCCATCATTCTGGGAAGACCGTTCATCGTCACTAGAGAACCGGTCGATAATGTACAAAAAGGGGAACTCGCTATGAGGATACATGATGTTGAAATTAAATTCAATGTTCTGAAGGCAATGAAATTCCATGATGAAAAAGAAGATTTGGAAGAATGCTCTGTAATTGCCGCATTGAGTAACCACCCCCACTTGAACTCAGGTGATGGAAATGATGGAACATAAGAGGAAGAAAACAGTTTAGCAGATTCCTTACCTACAGGAAAGAAGACATGAGTTCTTGCAGAGAACTGGAAAAGAAAAGCAAGTCAAAAGACCATCTGCAGAGCAACCCCCTGAGCTAGAATTGAAGTTGTTTCCCCAACATTTAAAATATGCATATTTACGGAACAACAATACTCTCCCAGTTATCATCTCCTCACTCCTCACCAAGGAACAAGAAGAATTACTGATTAGCAAGCTGAAAAAATATCTAGGAGCTATTGGGTGGACCATAGCAGATCTTAAAGGTATCAGTCCCTTTTTTTGTATGCATAAAATATTATTGACTGATCCTAACAGCTTTTCAGTAGAAAACCAAAGGAGATTGAATCTTGTTATGAAAGAAGTGGTAAGAAAGAAAGTCATCAAGTGGCTAGATGCAGGAATCATATATCCTATTTCAGACAACAATTGGGTAAGTCCTGTCCAATGTGTTTCCAAAAAAAGGGGCATAACTGTGAAGCTAAATGAGAAGAATGAGCTGATACCAGTCAGAAAAGTCACAGGGTGGAGAATCTGCCAAGACTATAGAAAGATCAATGCTGCCACCAGGAAAGACCACTTCCCGCTTCCCTTCACAGATCAGATGTTAGATCACCTAGCAGGTAAGGAATATTTTTGTTTTCTTGATGGTTATTCTGGATATAACCAAATTGCTCTAGCTCCATAAGATCAACGCAAAACCACTTTCACCTGTGCCTATGGAACATTTGCTTTCAGAAGAATGCCTTTTGGCTTATGGAATACGCTAGCAACGTTCCAAAGGTGTATATTTTTTATTTTTTCTGACTTGGTAGGTGAAGAAGGAGTGGAAGTTTTCATGGATGACTTCTCAGTTCTAGGAACGTCATATGATCACTGTCTGGATAATTTGGAAGATGTCTTACAAAGATGCATCTCTACTAATTTGGTTCTTAATTGAGAAAAATGTCAATTTATGGTGAAAGAAGGAATTGTCTTAGGACACAAAATTTCCAGGAACGGGTTAGAAGTGGATTAAGCCAAAGTAGAAGCTATAGCAAAGATGCCACCCCCTGTCAGTGTCAAAATGCTTAGATCATTTCTTGGGCATGCGAGCTTCTACAGAAGGTTCATTAAAGATTTCTCCAAAACAGCTAGACCTCTATGTCATTTGCTGGAAAAAGATGTGAAATTTGAGTTCAACTCTGATTGTTTGAAAGCTTTTGAAGCTTTAAAAATTTGTGGAACAAACATATCAGTTATAATATTGTGGCTGTGAAAATTTGGATAACTAATGACAGGAAACATAAAGTCAATTAGTAATCATTCTTATTCTTACTCTGAATGCTAGAAATAAGAAAAGAGAAGTGAATTTAGTCTTCAGATTTTTGAAGGATGCTGATCTGTGTGAACTAAAGCTGGTGAGGAACGAAAAATGCCAAACACTTACTCATGAAAGCGTTCCTAAGGTGTAACCACAATGAAACTTATGAACTTGCTTTGATGCTGTAAGTACTACAGAAGAACATGTGAACTCCATAGACAAGGATCTACCATCAAACACTCACCACATCACAGTCAAGCAAACACTTCCATCCCATTCATCAACACAATCACACACATTCCTAAATACCACCAGGTTCACTTAAGAGGTTAAGGAACAATAACAACCTGAGAAAACAGGACAAGAAGAAAAAAATCAAAGGCAATGGGAACAACCATTCAAAAGAATTCAGAAGAAAATACCAGACAAGATTCCTTCAAAGGAAGAAAAGAAGGTACAAAGACAAAGATAAGGTGTTCTCCAAACGGAAAAGTCCAAAGCTCAAAACAGAAAAGTGAAAACGTTCCTTGACCCCGGACCTATGACCACTCCATTCTAAACCTCCCCACAATCTCCTCCACCAAGATCCTTTGAAATGGAAGTCACTTTTGCTTCTTAGGAAAGCAATCGAAAAGCAAGTTTGAAGAATCACATCCAGGAATGGACAGAGAAACACCAAGCCCTGAGTGATAGTGAGACAGAAGATCAGCAACCTTCACTTACCTTGGAACAAATTCTTTCTACTTGTCATCTATGGAAAGTAGTTCATTCTTTGAAAAGATCATGATTACTCATTGGTTAAGTTTCTGAAGTTGATCTTTTCTTTGAAATTGATCAGCCTAAGCCACTATTTCTGAGTTGTTTAAGGACAACCAACAATTTAGTTTAGGGGTGTTTGATGGGATGAAAATTTGTTCCCATCTAAGCCCATTTTGATGGCAAAATACCATATGTTCCCTCACCTGGTGAGCAACTTTAGCACTAAAAACACTTATTTTATATCTTTATGACAAAAACACAGTGAGGAACGGATGATGACGTAATCCTTTGGAAAATATAGAAAAAGGGGAACAGATTGGGAACATTAAATACACCTGCTCCACTCACTCAATCTCTCTGACCACTTTGCAGGAAACGTTGAAAAGAAGTTTCCATAAAGCAGCAATCAAGCACGAAGAAACATGTACAGCAGGGAATAAAGAGTTCTCATTGGCTAAGAGGAAAGAAAGGCATGGGGGACTGCAGAAGAAACGGAAAATCTCAACAATAAGTGTCTCATCCAGCAACTTGCAACCCTCTGAACACTATTCGCACCGCCCCGTCCATGCAGTCAAGAAAACAACTTCAGAGAAATTATAAGCTTTGTCATCCACTCTTCTGCCTACAAATAGGACGTTCCAGCACGAAGAAGATCATCAAATTCCTTAACAAAAGATCACTTAGTTTATTTTGTAGTTTTTATATTTCAGTTGTATAGTTTTAGCATTAGTTAAGTGACAACAACTTCTTATCTTTTCTGTATCACCCACTTGAGACTCCTCACGAGCAACAACTATATTTCTCCATTTTTCCCTTT